ACTCTTTCAAACAGCTGTTGATGTATTTCCTAGCTTTATAGCTCCATCATAACCAGTATTCTTTCCAAAGATTTGTCTGTCACGAGCATGCTTGAGCTTCTTAATTCTTCTAGTCCTGGCCTGGGCAGGTGTGTATTGTGCCACCAAACAGCTACTGGGTGTGCTTCCCCTTGCAGACCTACAGGAAAATGATAAGTGTGCTCTGCTCACCATCAGTGATGACCTGGGCCTTCCTCCTACCATGTTAGATGTGCTTCAATCCAGGATCAGGAGACTCTAGAAAGGGATCCCAGTTCAGTTGAGTGAGACTGGGAGGCGGAGTTGTGAACATGGAGTTGGTCTTCTGTGGTTTTCCTTGTAGGAACATTTTTAATGCAGTGAGAAAAAACCTGGATTGAGAGAGTAAATTTGAAATAAGTAATTTTTATCTGAAAATGTGATTTTCTTTAAGAAGTCTGGGCCAGAAATTCTGGAATATGTGGACTCAGGGATGAAGGATGGGAATCTGATGAGGGAAATGGAAACCGGGACTAGGATTTAGCTGGCTGAGGGAGCAGGTTATTGAGTATGGGCAGAAGATGAAAGAAGACCTGGACTTAAAGCATGTGGGAACTGCCCCTTTGCAGTGAAGGAAGGAGTCCACTGATGTGCAGAGAAGCATGTTTAGAAAGACCAGGCAGCAGCTTCTTCACTGGAGGCAGTTTCCTCTGAAAATAGGAAGTGAAATCCAGTTTGTTCAGTCTTTCTGGCAGTAATTGTAAAATCTTCAAACAAAACGTGTCTGTTGTTTCTTCAAGTGCTGGAAATCACACACAATGGTGCCCTAGCAGCAGCTGTCAGTTGTTCCACTGAGCCACATGATAGGTGGTTAGCCCACAAATTAAGACATTCCATTCATTGACTAATAAACGAGGAAGGCTTTTAGTTGAATGCTTAAAGAAAACTAAAAAAAAAAAAAAAAATTCAAAGTGGTGTTGGTGATGAGGTTTAATACTGACACTTTGTCTCTAGGTTGCTCATCATATCTTCACTTACCTCAGGATTTGATTCATGGTACAGACTTTATTAAACTATCATGAGCACCTGCTGTTTGAATACCTGCCTAGTTCAGGGTGCAGGACAGGCTTATGCTGAGGTGAGTTAAGGTTTCCAGAAGAATTTTTGCTCCAGCCACTTGGAGTTAGAATGGCTGGAACAAGCAGAGCTGCAGGACAGAGCATTCCAACACTGCTGAATGAGTCAGAATGCCAGGATTTGGAAGCACAATGACGGATTTAAATCAAACTTCTCAAAAATGGTCTAACATGTGGCTTTCACTGGGATGGTCAGGTTAGAGAATTGCTGAGCATTAGTACTTAAAATAGCATCAGGAGTCTGTGTTTAAAATAAATTCTCATCAGCTGGAAGGGTGAAGGGATTCCCCTCTGGAAGACATGGATGGAGTTTCTTTAAGGCAGCATTACCTGCTTTGCACACTGAAACAGGAATCCTTTAGACAGGATAGTGTCTGATCATTTACATTACATCCTCATGCCTTTGCCCAAGAGGGCCTGGTCAGGGCTCTTCAGGAAGTTCTGGGGCTGCTTAACTTCTGCTTGTTTGAGCTTTCACTCTTAAGAGATACAAGCATTTGTAACAGTGCATACAGAGCTCAGTTGTCTTTAAAGCATTTAGAATGTGAAAAAACCTTTGCAAAGTTGTCTTCACACTTGTAGCTTCTGTCATGAGCTCATCAGTGTCTAAAGCAGCAGTTCACAAAAAAACAGAGTAGGAGTTTCTCCATGTAGCAGTGGCCTAATGTGATAACTCCTGTTTATTTCAGTGCTGAGTTTATTTTAATTGACTTGGTTTCCTACAGTATCTGCCACAGAAGGGGCTGCATTTGCACTCTTATCTGTCTAGTACAGGAATTTAATACTCTCTTCCTCCATCTTCTTGTTTGACAGATTGATAGAATGTCATATATGCATGTAAAACCAAGGAACAAATGGACAAAAAAAAACCCCAACACATCAAAATCAGATTCCTGATACTGTATGAGTACTTTAACAGCATGCTAGTAGTTCAGTTATAAAATTCAGAGAAGCTGAGACCATCCAGAGGCACCCATTTCAGTGCCCTCACACTATAAAGGTACTACCAGCTGTAAGAACCTAGTCTGTCCCCTAGTAATAATACTTCACTTTGAAATGAGAAGCAGCATTTGGCTCTTTACCAGCTTCAGTGAGTTTTGCCCACTTGAATAGGTACAGGCACACTTGTGGAACTTGGAGATCATTAGTCATTTTAAGCTGCAAGTCACAAGAGTGGTCTTCAGACATTGTCCCCTTATGAAACTTCGGTAGTTTTATGAAGAAACAGTGGGGTTTTCCTATTTAGAAGGGACTCACTCTGCATGTTGTCACTTTTAAAGTGACATTCAAACTGTCAACTCTGGCAAATACCCAAACTGACTGTTTTTCATAGGGAGTCTTTGGTCTGGGGTAGAAGTGGAGATCTGGAGATTTGATCTTGCTGAAGTAGGTTCCTCTAGAACTGGCTGGGTGGTGGTTTCTAAAGCTGCACTAACACAAGGGCTGAATGTGGCTTTCACAGTAATCAGTGGCACTGCCAAAGCTCAGCCCTGAGCAAGAGGTGGTTGTCTTCTCCAAGCTTTGCCTTAGCTTCAGTGTGAGCTTCACACCAAGCTTGCAGTACCCAGAAGATCAGTACCAGCTTTTCTCCCCAGAAGAGCACAGGAATGGTGAAATTCTCCCCAGTGGGATGGATAGGAGCCTTTGTCCTGTTCCCAGCCCTCACCACCACCTCTGCATATTCTGCCATCTCCACAGATGTGCCTCTGATTTACAGCCAGTGTTAAAAGTGTAGGGAAGTTGTTTCATTGTAACTTCTCCAGGAAAATAACATCCTCTTTCTCTAACAAGCTGGAATTTTTATTAGCTCCTGAATTGTCCCTTTGCTATCAACAGCCTCTGAAGCCTTTTGAATTCCAGGGTGCCACAAGTTTGTGCTATTTAACCTTTCTAGAGACTTCCTATTTCTTGCTTTGCACTAGTGTAAAGGGCACCTTTCTCTTAGATTGTATGATTCCAGAGTCCAGCAAGAAATTCATGCAGTTGCTCTTCAGTATGTCTTTTTTTTTTTTTTTTAAATGAAACTGGTAGGAACTCTATCAGGTTCTGTCTTTTTAAACTTGCTTGGAAATGAGCAATGAATCCAAAAGTTATTATGAATGTGTCCACAGAGTATAAGCACAAGTAAGCACATGTAAGCCTAATTTCCATCATAAACCCATTGTTGAAAATACCATGGATTGTCCTTGGGGAAAATAAAGGATGTTTTCTGTGGGGCTGCTTAGTTTGGAGAGGAGGATCTCTGACTAGATTTATTTGTAGTTCTTTGGCAAATGCAATCAAATTGAATTCTCATCTGGAGAGGGAAAGGTCTGAACTCTGTAATGTGTGTATTTTCTCTTGGATGAAGCTGAAAATGTGTGTGTCTTTGTCAGTGTTTCTGTTTCCATAGTGGGTAAAGCTTTAAGAAAGCCTAGATAATGGTGTTAATGTCTCAGAGGGCTTATTTTCCTGATTATTTTTAATAAAACAGCTAATGTTGCCAGTATTAAAAGCTACCGTTGCTATGTCTAGGTCACAAATTTGTAATGCACATCACATTTTACCCCTCAAGTAATTAAATATCTAAAGTGAGCATGATTTCTACCAAAGTCTCTGTTATCA